CGGCTCCGAAGCTCCCCGCTCCGCCTCCCGCAATCTCTGCCCGCGAAGGGGCTTCCTAGTGTGTGGAGATCTTTCCTCCTTCACAGCTCCCTCCCACTGGTGCAGGTGCCGTCCCTATTCTATTGTCTCTGTTTTTAATTAACTTTTTCTTTTGCCCTACCCAGATACGTGGGGAGTTTCTTGCCTTTTGGGAGGTCTGAGGTCTTCTGCCAGCATTCAGTAGGTGTTCTGTAGGAGTTGTTCCACATGTAGATGTATTTCTGGTGTATTTGTGGGGAGGAAGGTGATCTCCGCGTCTTACTCCTCCGCCATCTTTCCACCGCCCCCTTCTTCTGGGATTTTATCTTGTCCCTTTCTCTGGGATATAGTCCCTTGCTGTCTCATTTTGTCTTTCTGTGATCGTGGTTTCCATTCCACAGGTTGCAGGGTTGTAGTTCTTCTTGCTTCTGCTGTCTTCCCCCTTGTGGATGAGGCTGGTCTAAGTGGCTTGTGCTGGTTTCCTGGTGAGAGGGACTGGTTCCAGCCCACTGGTGGGCAGAGCTGGGTCTTGTCCCTCCTGTGGGCAGGGCCTTGTTAATGGGTGTGTTTAGTGGCCAGCTGTGGGCTTAGGAACACTTTAGGCAGCCTGTTTGCTGATGGGTGGGGCTGTGTTCCCACCCTGTTGGTTGTTTGGTCTGAGGCATCCCAGCACTAGAACCTATTGGCTGTTGGGCGGGGCCAGGTCTTGGTGGGAAAATGGTGGCCTCCAGGAGGGCTTACGCCAATGAGTACTACCCAGAACTACCGCCACCAGTGTCTCTGTCCACACAGTGAGTCACAGCCACCCCCTCACACACCCCCACCCCCCTCCGCAGGAGACCCTCCAATACTAGCAGGTAGGTCTGGCCTAGGGTCTTATGAGGTCACTCTTTTCCCCCTGTGTCCTGGTGCTCATGAGACCTTGTGTGTGCCCTCCAAGAGTGGAATTTCTGCCTCCCCCAGTTCTGTGGAAGTATTGCAGTCAAACCCTGCTGGCCTTCAAAGCCAGGTGCTCTTGGGGCTCCTTTTCCCAATGCCAGACCCCCAGCCTGGGTAGCCTGATGTGGGACTCACAACTTTCACTCCTGTGGGAGAACCTCTGTGATACAATTATTTTCCAGTTTGTGCTCTGCCCACCTGGTGGGTATGGGATTTGATTTTATCATGATTTCACCCTTCTTGGAGCTGGAGCCTCCAATGGGGGAATCTCTGCTTCATGGCTTTACTGCTCTTAGGCTCCTAAACAACCTACCTAAACAGCTTCCCTCCCAGACTTGACTTCTTATTGGCTTCCCATTATGACAGGGAGCTAGTCTGACAAACTGACTTGTTCTAATGTGTGAATGGTAGAGGGAGAACTGTTTACCCCTCCCCTCTTTCTAGGCAACATGCTCAAGCTCTCCCCACTTCAAAAACACCCCCACGTGCATCATGCATGCTTTGATGCATCCAAAATATGGCTCTAAGAGTCCAGGCAAGCCAGCAGGATATTTTTGAGCTGGGCTTGTGTTTATTCAAAAAAAAAAAAAAAAGGGTTGGAGCTGTCTTCTCTGCTCTATATTTCAGCACAGAACAAAAATCTTCACACACATTGCTACTGTGTTTAAACCAACTGTGCTATGCTCCCCTTACAAGGAGAAGAACTGTGTATGCAGTCTGATTTAGGATGCTTTTCCTGTGGGTATTTGACAATAGAAGCATACCATCACAAATCCAAGAAAATAAATTTATTAAACTTTGAAGGAAAAATCCACAGACATAAAGAAAGTTAAATATAAACTGCAGGACACAACTAGTCATACTAGTGAATAATGGCTTGTGTGGCCAGCAAAGTACCAAAATGACATTCGGAGACCGATTGAGGTATTTAGCTATTTTTGGCTATAGAAATGTTGTCAGCCTATTGTGAAATAGTAAGATAGTTTTCCCAAACACACAGTTTTAAGTTGAATTAGGTTCTACATTGATGAAACTGTCTATGAAACTAAATTATGTAGCTCTTAGAGAAAACCGTAGCAGCAAGGTAGCAGAAAATCTATTAAACATCTATTACAAAGTAACATGTTGAACTTTAAACACCCAATTCTAGCTTTTCACTGTCCTTCCTGCAAGAAACAGGGAATTTAAAATTGCCAACCATTAAGCTTGTTTCCTAAAAAGGTATGGCAAATACTATTTAAGTTAAAGCTAACTTTAAAGTTTTATTAACTTTTAAAAAATACTTAAGTGAGAAGCATTCTTGAGTGAGATGAGTCTTTTTGACAAACCTTTTGAGGAGCAATCCCAATGCTCCTATGAATGATGTTTAGGTTATTAAGATATTGAACAATAACTTATAATTTACTCAGGCTGCTGCTTTTTCTTCTGACTACCTGCTTTAAGGCCAATACACTCAGAGGGGAAGTACAAAATGATGAAACTTCTTTTATTATTTTAAGTAAATCCTATAAAAGATTTGGTAAGGAAGAAAGTTTCTGCTATGGGTTTAAATAAATTTTTTAGTTATCTTGGGGATTTAAAATCTTGTTTTTTCTCTTTTTTGCTACCATGAATAATGAGTATGTGTCTGGCTATAGGCTGTGAAAGAAAAACCGTTTTCTTGAACTTTTATTCCATGATCTGGTTAACTTCACTTCGACCGGCTTCAACTTACAAAATGCTTCTTGTACCTATTCCTTCCTTAGGTAAATATGAACTAAGAGACACTGTGGCCGAGGTTCTAAGGCTTGACTCTCATGATCTGAGTGCACTAAGAAACTCCTTCCCCGTGCACTGCAGTGATTAAGCATTCTGGGTCAATAGGAACCAGCTATGATTTCTGTTCTCTTATTATGCAGTGCTCTGACATGAACCAAAACTTGGGTAAGAAAAGGCTTTTTGTTCATTTGTGTTGTGGGGTTTTTTTTTTTTTTTTGGTTCATGATAAGTTGACCTGTGCAAACATTTTAAAGTTTTCTAAATTAACAAATATCTGTTTACAAATTCAGATAAGATGAACACATTCCAATAATGCAGCTAACTACAATCATTTTAGAATCATTTAAAGAGTTTTAGGAGGTATAAAAAGGGCCTTGTAAAAAACTAGTTTTTCTTCAGGTGCGTTGACCAAAGCATTAAACCAGCTTTAGACTGCAGTTACTACATTCTTTAGATGGGTCGGCATGAGCTACAGTACACCGTGTATAGTGTAATAGAAAATAGCCATGCTTAAAGTGTAAATTATTAAAAATACCTTTATCCATTTTATGTCAAAATAAATGTTTTACATATCCAAACTATTTCTTGTCTTCTTACCTATAATTTTAGTTCCCAATTATTAAAAAAAATTAGCCTGTGCTATGATTTGCATTCAATCGTCCTGAACTGCAAAAGCCACCTGATTTTTCGCTTTTTCAAAAAGCATGATTAACTATAGATTAAAAAACATAGCCATTCAATGCTTAGTAGCACAAAATTAACACCCACAATAACAAGACAATCACTGCCACTAAACAGTCTTTGAGACAATTCTTTAAAATATTTACAATTCACAACAAGAATATCTATCTGATGAAGGGTTCTTCTTCTTTTTCTTTAATATCATGTTTCAACATTTCAGGAAAAGCCATTTAGAATCCGTATCCCCCACCCTCAACTCCCACCCCCCTCCAAAAAAGGTTTAAACATTGTTTTGGTTTAAGCATTCATGCCCTAGCCAACTCTTTGCTAGAGTAAATAGGTAACTCATTAAATATGTAGCTCACGGGAAATCGAAGAAAAGCTACGGCATGATTTTGTTCAGTTGGTCTGTGCTCACGTAGCCACATGATGAGAGAAACTCTTTGTCAGGCAAGGGCAGGGCAGTTGCATTGAGTACGAGGCCCTGTGGAGATTGTACTATATGAATGGAGGTATAGTCTGGGACAGGCAACTCAGAACTTGTAACACGTTCTGCTGTCCCAGACCTCCCAGCAGTAGTGGTAAGGCTTTCCGTGGTGATGTAAATGTCTTCCTGGTTAAAGCTTGGCTCTACATGTGATTCAACCTCGACATGAGAGGCCAGGGCGATGCACTTTTTAGCATCTGCCTCACAGAAGTAGGCGTTGTCCATGATGAAGTTTGCTTGGCACGGTGAGACCACTTCTGGATGCATGTCACACTGGGAGATCCCAGCCTTATTCTTTTGGCCCGGGGAAAGGACCACACTCCCTGCTGGTGTAATGTCACTTACCTGGGCATAAAAGTCGATGTTTGCCAATGAACTTGGATTGCTGAGCTGTTGCTGTGTATGGCCAGCTTGATGAGTTGACTCAGTTTTGCCAATAAGAAGTGATCTTGGTTTGTTTTCCTCTCCTAGGATAACACTGGGCTGCTGGCAAGCAGGGGCAGCATCATTCGAAGGTGAGTTATTTAGATTCTTCTGGACAAGGCACAAGCGATCTGCTTCCCCTTTCAACCTTTGTGGCTGAGCAACCTCTGAGGTACCATCACACATGTCATTGGCATTGAAATCAGTCTCCAGAATGTCAGGTTCATAACAGCTGGTACGTCCAGAGTCGTCATCCTTTGCCCCAAGGATATTAAGTGATTTTTCACGGTCATTGCTTAGAAGTCTGTCTGTGTCTGATCCTTCAGTCTTTTCATCGGGGTCATCAATATCTAGCTCAATAAATTCAACCCAAGAGTCATCATTGTAGAATTCGTGTTTATAGTTATCATGAATGGCTAAGATTGTGTTCACCTCTTCTAATTTCCCTTCCTAGGAAATAGAAAATGAAGATCTATGAAAAACTCACAACAATTAAGTGATATAATACATAACGTTCAGAGACTAATTAGTAACAAAACCATATAACAAATATATTAGTGAAGAACTTTTCTTTCTTTTTAAAAATTCTTTTCTATTATGGTTCATCACAGAATACCAAACAGTTCTCCATGCTATACAGCAGGATGTTGTTGTTTATCCATTCCATATATAATAGCTTGTATCTGCTAACCTCAACCTCCTACTCCATCCCTCCCCCAACCCCTTCCCCCTTGGCATCTACAAGTCTGTTCTCTATGTCTTTGAGTCTGTTTTTGTTTCATATGTAGATAGGTTCATTTGTGTCATATTTTAGATTCCACATATAAGTGATATCATATAGTATTTGTCTTTCTCTTTGACTTACTTCACTTAGTATGATAATCTCTAGTTGCATCCATGTTGCTGCAAGTGGCATTATGTCATTCTTTTTTTTTTTTTACGGCTGAGTAGTATTCCATTGTATATATGTACCACATCTTCTTTATCCATTCATCTGTCGATGGGCATTTAGGTTGTTTCTATGTCTTGGCTATTGTGAATAGTGCTGCTGTGAACATAGGGGTGCATGTATCCTTTTGGATTAGAGTTTTGTCTGGATATATGCCTAGGGGTGGGATTGCTGGATCATATGGTAATTCTATTTTTAGTTTTCTGAGGAACCTCTATATTGTTTTCCATAGAGGCTGTACCAACTTACATTCCAACAGTGTAGGAGTGTTCCCTTTTCTCCACACCCTCTCCAGCATCTGTTATTTGTAGAGTTTTTAATGATGGCCATTCTGACTGGTGTGACGTGGTACCTCATTGTAGTTTTGATTTGCATTTCTCTAGTAATTAGCAATGTTGAGCATCTTTTCATGTGCCTATTGGCCATTTGTATTTCTTCTTTGGAGAAATGTCTATTTAGGTCTTTTGCCCATTTTTCAATTGGGTTGTTTTTTTGTTGAGTCGTATGAGTTATTTGTATATTTTGGAAATAAAGCCCTTATTGGTCTCATTGTTTGCAAATACTTTCTCCCATTCTGTAGGTTGTCTCTTTGTTTATGGTTTCTTTTGCTGTGCAAAAGCTGGTAAGTTTGATTAGGTCCCATTTGTTTCTATTTCTATTGCTTTGGGAGACTGACTTAAGAAAACATTGGTATGATTTATGTCAGAGAATGTTTTGCCTATGATCTGTCCTAGGAGTTTTGTGGTGTCATGTCTTAAGTCTTTAAGCCACTGTGAGTTTATTTTTAGGTATGGTGAGATGGTGAGAGGGTATGTTCTAACTTCGTTGATCTCCATATGGCTGTCCAACTTTCTCAGCACCACTTGTTGAAGAGACTGTCTTTTTCCTATCGTATATTCTTGCCTCCTTTGTTGAAGATTGACTATAGGTGTGTGGGTTTATTTCTGGGCTCTCTATTCTGTTTCATTGACCTATATGTCTGTTTTTTGTGCCAATACCCCTGTAGCTTTGTAGTATTGTCTGAAGTCTGGGAGGGTTATGCCTCCTGCTTTGTTCTTTTTCTTCAGGATTGCTTTAGCAACTCTGGGTCTTTAATAGTTCCATATAAATTTTAGGATTATTCTAGTTCTGTGAAAAATGTCATGGGTAATTTGATAGGGACTGCATTAAATCTGTAGTTTGCTTTGGGCTGTATGACCATTTTAACAGTGTTAATTCTTCCAATCCATGAGCATGGGATATCTTTCCATTTCTTTGACTCACCTTCAGTTTCCTTTATTAATGTTTTATAGTTCTCAGCATATAGGTCTTTTACCTCCACAGTCAGGTTTATTCTTAAGCATATTTTATATTTTTGGGTGAGGTTTTAAATAATATTGTTTGTTTACATTTCCTTTCTGATATTCTGCTGTTAGTGTAAAGAAATGCAACCGGTTTCTATATGTTAATCTTGTATTCTGCTACTTTGCTGAATTCCCTTATTATTTCTCATAGTTTTTTTTGTGGATTCTTTAGGGTTTTCTATATAGTATCATGTCATCTGCATAAAACAACAATTTTGCCTCTTCCCTTCCAATTTGGATACTTTTTCTTTTTCTTGTCTGATTGCTGTGGCTAGGACTTCCAATACTATGTTAAATAGAAGAGGTAAGAGTGGGCATCCTTGTCTTGTTCCAGATTTTAGCGGGAAGTCTTTCAGCTTTTCACCATTGAGTATTATATTGGCTGTGGGTTTGTCATAAATAGCTTTTACTATGTTGAGATATGTTCCCTGGGTACCCACTTTGGTAAGAGTTTTTATCATGAATGGATGTGGAATTTTGTCAAATGCTCTTTCTGCATCTTTTGAGATGATCATGTGGTTTTTGTCTTCTCTTGTTTATGTGATGTATCACATTGATTTGTGTATGCTGAACCATGCTTGTGAACTTGGGATGACTCTTGGTCATGGTGTATGATCTTTTTTTATGTGTTGTTGGATTTTGTTGAGAATTTTTGCATCTATATTCATCAAAGATATTGGCCTGTAATTTTCTTTTTTGGTGGTGTCTTTGTCTGGTTTTGGTATCAGGGTGATGGTGGCTTCATGGAATGTCTTTGGGAGTGTTCCCTCCTCTTCAATTCTTTGGAAGAGTTTGAGAAGGACTGGTGTGAGTTCTTCTTTGTATGTTTGGTAGAATTTGCCTTTGAAGCCATCTGGTCCTGGATTTTTGTTTGTAGGGAGTTAATTACATATTCTATTTCACCTCTAGTGATTAGTCTGTTCAAATTATCTACTTATTGTTGATTCAATTTTGGTGGGCTGTATGTTTCTAGAAACTTGTCCTTTTCTTCTAGGTTGTTGAATTTGTTGAGATGTAATTGGTCATAGCGTTCCCTTATGGTTTTTGTATTACTGTGGTATCAGTTGTTATGTCTTTTTCATTTCTTATTTTGTTTATTTGGGTTCTCTCTCTTTTCTTCTTGGTGAGCCTGGCCAGAGGTTTGTCAATCTTGTTTACCCTTTCAAAGAACCAGCTCTGGGTTTTATTGTTTTTTTTCTATTTTTTTAATCACTATTTTATTTATTTCCTCTCTGATCTTGATTATTTCCATCCTTCTGCTGATTTTAGGTTCTGTCTGTTCTTTTTCTACTTCTTTTAAGTGGTAGATTAGGTTGTTTATCTGAGACTTTTCTTGTTTTTTTGAGGAAGGCCTGTATCACTATGAACTTCCCTCTAGGAATTGCTTTTGCTGCATCCCATAGATTTTGTACAGTGGTGTCTTCATGGTAATTTTTCTCAAGGTATTTTTAAATTTACTCTTTGATTTCATTGTTGACTGGTTTTTTAGTAGCATATTGTTTAGTAGTCATTTTCTTTTTCTGTGGTTGATTTCTAGTTTCATGCTGCTGTGGTCAGAAAAGATGCTTGAGATAATTTCTGTACTCAAGTTTGTTGAGGTCTGTTTTGTACCCTAGTATGTGGTCAATCCTAGAGAATGTTCCATGTGCACTCGAAAAGAATGTATATTCTGTTTTTTAGGATGTAAGGTCCTAAAAATATCAATTAGGTCTAACTGTTCTATTGTATCATTTAGGATCTCTGTTGCCTTATTTTCTTTCTAGAAGATCTGTGCACTGATGTGAGTGGGGTGTTAAAGTCTCCTACTATTATTGTATTCCTGTCAATTTCTCCCTTTATGTCTGTTAGTATCTGTTTTATGTATTTGGGTGCTCCTATACTAGGCGCATATATGGTGATGAGTGTAAAAGTGTCCTTCTTTATTTTTCTTTATGGCCTTTGTTTTAAAGTCTATTCTGTCTGATACGTGTATTGCGATCCCCACTTTGTCATTTCCATTTGCATGAAATATCTTTTTCCATCTCCTCACTTTCAATCTGTGTCCTTTGCTCTAAATTGGGTCTCTTGTAGGCAGCATATTGTAGGCTCTTGTTTTTTTTATCCAATCTTCCTCTCTGTGTCTTTTGATTGGAGCATTTAGTCCATTGACATTAAGGTAATTATTGATAGATATGTATTTATTGCCATTTTAAGCCTTGCTTTCCTGTTGATTTTTTATTTCTTCTTTGTCCCTTTTTTCTTTTTGTTTTTCCCTTTTGTGGTTTGATGATTTTCTTTTGTATTGTACTTCTTTTTGGTTTTTGTGAGTCTATTGTATGTTTTTGATTTGTGGTTACCTTGTTTCTCAAGTATGTAAACCCCATCCTATAGCTATTGATACTTGCCTTAGACTGGCAATCATATAGGCTCAAACACATTCTAGGAAATGATAAAAAAAAATTTACACTTTCTTACTCTTCTCCCCCACATTATATGATTTTGATGTCCTCTTTTACATCTTCATGTTCATCCTTTTGCTGTTCACTGTGGTTAGCATAAATGTCACAGAAATTTATTTTGATTTTTTAAAATCTGTGTACTGGCTTATTTAGGTGATTTTCTTTCTAATTGTGATTTTCTCTTTCCTATATATTCTTCTTTTCTATTTACAGAAGACCTTTCAATATTTCCTTTAGGATAGGTTTAGTATTGCTGTATTCTTTTAGTTTTTGCTTGTCTAAGAAATTCTTTCTCGGTCCTTCTATTGTAAATAATAATCTTGCTGGGTAGAGTATCCTAGGTTGCAGTTTTTTCCCCTTCAGGACTTTGAATGTATCTTGCCACTTCCTTCTGGCCTGCAAAGTTTCTGTACAGAAATCAGCTGATAGCCTTATGGGGGTTCCCTTGTAATTAACTTTTCTCTTGCTGCCCTTAGAATCCTCCCTTTAACTTTTGCCATTTTAATTATAATCTTGGTGTAGGTCTGTTTGGTTTTACCTCGTTTGGGACCCTCTGCTTCCTGTACCTGGATATGTTTCTTTCTTTACGTTTGGGAAGTTTTCAGTTTCCCAAATACATTTTCAATACCCTTTTCTCTTTCTTCCCATTCTGGGGTCTCTGTTATGCATAGATTGGCATGCTTTATATTATCCCATAGGTCTCTTATATTGCTTTCATTTTTTTTTTTTTCATTTGGCTTTCTGTCTGCTGTCTTGATTGGGTGATTTCCATTATTCTATCTTCCAGGTCATTTACTCATTTTTATGTATTATTCATTCTGCTATTCATTGCCTTTAGTCCAGTTTTCATCTTGGCAAATGAGTTTTAAAATTTTTTTGGTTCCTTTTTATAGTTTCTAGTTCCTTTTTATAGTACTCTACATTTCTGTCAATAGCATTTCTTAATTCCTTCAGTATTTTCATTATCTCCTTTTTGAATTTGGTGTCTATTAGACTGAAGAGGTCTGTTTCATTGTTCTTTCAGGGGAATTCTCTTGGTCTTTTAACTGGGAGTGGTTCCTCTGCTTCTTCATTTTACCTTATATTTCTCTTATTCTGTGAGTTTAGGAGAAACAATGATCTACTGTGGTCTTGGAGGGCTATTTATATGTGGGAGTGTCCCGGTGTAGTTTGTGTGGATTTAATATTTTGGTGCAAGGGCTGTTTTTAGTATTGATGCCTGTCACCTCTTTCCTCAGCACGTGCTGGCCATTATTCTCTTGATAGGGCGTGTGCAGATGCAGTGGCTGGTGCCTGGTCCTGGCATTCTCTGTGGTGGTAGCAGCTCATGCGCATCCCCGGAGCACACAATGGGAGGTGGCTCACAACTACTCCTGGAGTCTGCGAGGGTGGTGGTGGCAGCTCATGACAGCTCTTAAAGCATGGGGGTTGGGGGTGGTGGTGGCTTGTGATCGCTCCTGTAGCTTGTGTAGGCAGTGTTCTGTAACCTGAGAGCACGTGCAGGGAGAAAGGCTGCAATGGCAGGTCTTGCCTCTCCTCTCGCACAGCACCCAAACAATGGTACCTGGCCTCTAAGGTAGCCCAGGCTTCCTCTGTGTACATCCTCTGGTGCAGTTGCACCAAACTCCAGCCCCTTCAGGCTCTTTCTGCACAGCCCACCACCTGAGTCCTCTCCATGGGCCTAATCTCTGAAGCCTGTGCTTCAGCACCCAGTCCCTGCTTACATGGGTGGATGTGTGTCTCCGGCCGGGGAGTGCTGAGCGGTGGCACTGACCGTCTGCCAGTCTCTCTCCATTCGAGCTGCTGCAAAACCGGTTCCTGCATTCTCCTCCAAGGCTCTAAAACTCTCACTCTGTCCCGGCTGATCTCCATGACAGTGAGGGGACTTCCCAGGGTGCAGGCATCTTTCCTCTTTCACAGCTCTCTCCCAAGGGGTGGGGTGCAGGTCCCTTCCCAATTCCTTTCTTTTCTTCTTTTTTCTTTTGTCCTACCTGGTTACATAGACATTTTCTTGCCCTTTTAGAGGTCTGATGTCTTCTGCCAGCAGTCAGTAGATATTCTGTGAGAACTGTTCCACATGTAGATGTGTTTTTGATGTATTTGTGTGAGGCAGTGAGCTTCACATTCTACTACTCTGCCATCTTGATCCAGTAGTCAAGAACTTTTAAATACATAAGACATTCTCAGAATTTTGAGATGTATTATTTAAAAACTTTTTTTCCCAGAAGGAATACAAAAAATAAAATTAATACATATAACTTGCAAAAGGTCTCAACATAAGACATTATTGTTCAGGTATCATTTAATTAGTGTTATGTATAACTTAGGTAATTTATTAATTACCTTGAGGAGATCTGGATCAATTCCTTTAATCTTTGGAACTGGAACTGGGGGTAGAATCAACATCTTAATCCTTGAAAATAAAATTTGTTTTGATGTCAGTTATACATTCTCATTTCAAAAGACAGAAATAAAATGTTGACAGTATTATTACTAATATAAAGTAACAGAAAATTTGGAATAAGTATAATCTGAGAAAGAGGAGGAAAGCATTAAGCAGTAAATGACAAGGCAAAACTACAGAAGAAAAAAACCCAACAAACCCTCATCTGAAACCAATTTAAGTAAAATGCAGTTTTCTTATAACTTAATGTCTTTTATTGATAGTCTTAGTATTGGAAGTTAGAAATTTAATTCCATCTGAAGCCAATTTCCATGTCAGTTATAAGGGAGGTAATTTTAATATACATCGCATCTGTAAATTGTATAGGAAGGGAAGGGGAGGAGAAAGAACCAATCCATGTGAAGCCAACATTATCTGTACCCTTAAAGAGTGGGTTGGTATAAGTTCATACCACAAATCCACATGAATTATAAGATTATCCAAGGCAATCTCATTAACCAGGGTGTTATTGCACAGTTCATTTCAGTTAGGACAGACTAAACTTGAACTATCTCTAATCAGTATGGATTTGTATACACAAGTCTATGATGCACTTAAAATTTCTGTTCCAAATATTTAAGTTACTTTTTGACCATAATTCATTTCAATATCTATCCTGCTTGTCTTGTGCCTGATTGTAACCCCAGCACTCAGAACAGTTCCTGGCACAGAGAAGGTGCTCAATAAACCATTTCTTGAATAAGTTTGAGTAAATCATTTATCTATTTCATTAATAGTGTAACTAGAGTTTTTGTTTTAAAGTCAACAACATTGTGGCTGTGGAATAAAGCTCAGATACTACTATAAAACACTGATGAAAGAAATCAAAGATGACACTAACAGATGGAGAGATATACCATGCTCCTGGATTGAAAGAATCAATACTGTGAGAATGACTATACTACCCAAAGCAATCTATAGGTTCAGTGCAATCTCTGTTAAATTACCAATGGCATTTTTCACAGAATTAGAACAAAAATTTATACAATCTGTGTGGAAGCACAAAAGACCCCAACTAGCCAAAGCAGTCTTGAGAAAGAAAAATGGAGCTGGAGGAATCAGGCTCCTGGACTTCAGACTATACTACAAAGCTACAGTAATCAAGACAGTATGGTACTGGCACAAAAACAAATACAGATCAGTGGCACAGGATAGAAAGCCCAGAGATAAACGCATGCACCTATGGTCACCTAACCTATGACAAAGGCAAGAATATACAATGGAGACAAGACAGCCTCTTCAATAAATGGTGCTGGGAAAATTGGACAACTACATGTAAAAAAAAAAAGTGAAATAACACTGCCTAACACCATACACAAAAATAAACTCAAAGTGGATTAAAGACCTAAATGTAAGACCTGACACTATAAAACCCTTAGAGGAAAACACAGGCAGAACACTCTGACAGACATATATCACAGCAAGATCTTTTATGACCCACCTTCTAGCGTAATGAAAATAAAAACAAAAATAAACAAATGGGACCTAATGAAACTTAAAAGCTTTTGCACAGCAAAGGAAACCATAAACAAGACAGACAACCCACAGAATGTGAGAAAATATTTGCAAATGAAGCAATGGACAAAGGATTAATCTCAAAAACATACAAACAGCTCATGCAGCTCAATATCAAAAAGACGAACAACCCAATCAAAAGATGGGCAGAACACCTAAACAGACATTTCAGCAAAGAAGACATACAGATGGCCAAGAGGTACATGATAAGCTGCTCAGCATCACTAATTATTAGAGAAATGCAAATCAAAACTACAGTGAGGTATCACCTCACACCAGTCAGAATGGCTATCATCACATACCTACAAACAATAAATGCTAGAGAGGGTGTGGAGAAAAGGGAACCCTCTTGCACTGTTGGTGGGAATGTAAATTGGCACAGCCACTATGGAGAACAGCATGGAGGTTCCTTAAAAAACTAAAAATAGAACAACCATATGCCCCAGCAATCCCACTACTGGGCATTTACCCTGAGAAAACCATAATTCAAAAAGATTCGTGTACCACAATGTTCATTGCAGCACTATTTACAGTAGCCAGGACAAAGAAACAACCTAAATGTAGAATGACAGACAAATGGATAAAGACGATGTGGTACATATATACAATATTACTCAGCTATAAAAGTGAACAAAACTGGGTCATTTGTAGAGATGTGGATGGACCTAGAGTCTGTCATACAGAGTGAAGTCAGTCAGAAAGAGAAAAACAAATATTGTATATTAATGCATATATGTGGAATCTAGAAAAATGGTACAGATGAACCTATCTGCAGGGCAGGAATAGAAAGGCAGACATGGAGAATGGACTTGTGGACAGAGTGGGGAAGGGGAGGATGGGATGAATTGGGAGATTAGGTTTGACATACACTACCATGTGTAAAACAGCTAGTGGGAACCTGCTGTATAGCACAGGGAGCTCAGCTTGGTGCTCTGTGATAACCTAGATGGGTGGGATGGGGGGGAGGGAGGTCCAAGAGGGAGGAGATATATATATATATATATATATACATATAGTTGATTCACTTCACTGTACACTAGAAACTAACACAACACTGTAAAGCAATTATACTCCAATTAAAAGAAAAAAGGAAAAAAATTAACATTGTGGCTCTGGAATAAAGCTCAGAGATTAGCCATTCCAATCTGATTTTTGGGTATCAGCTGATATTCTACTTAGTGTGAATGAACGTTTTTTGAATGTTTCCACCACCTTTTTACATAATCCAAGGAATAAGCCAAATTCCATAAGTTGTGTTTGAGTAGACTCCACTAGGTTTACTCTGTGGGACAGTGTTAAATTGTTACTGATGAATAGAAGTTATAGAAAAAATTCATGTTACTAGTAACTGCTACCATTTTTGAATGCTTCTGATAAACCACTGTGAGATGTATCTTGCAGTAAACTCTGGGTCGGCAAATTACGGTCTATGGGCCAAATGTGGTCTGCCCTCTGTTTTTGTAAATAAAGTTTTATTGGAACATGGTCATGTGCATTTTACATATTATCTATGTAAAATAGTTTGCATATCATCTATGGCTGCTTTCATGCCACAGTGGCAGAGCTGAGTAGTGGTGACAGAGATAGCCCAGAAAGCCTAAAAATTTAGTGTTTGGTCATTTTTAAAACAACTTTGTCAACGCCTGCACTGAACATTTCATTTAATCCTTACCACTACCAGGGAAGCAGAAGACATTATCTGTGGAAAGATTTAGATATTTAAGGAACATGTTCAAATCACACACTGATACTTGGCTCAGCTGGTGCTCAAATCCAAAGCAGCTGACTCCCAAACCTGGGCCCTTTGCCTTCTGTCGCGCTGATGGGTTAACTTGGTTCTGCATCTCTAAATGAATAGTTCACAGGTTCAAACACATAGAAAAATGCAACAAAACCCCAGTTACAGGAGGCAAAGTTTCCTAAATGTCTAACGCTTAACTCTGTATGGGTGCCTCTTTTTTGTTTTTTTTTTTGAAGCAGATGATGCATTTAGGTACTTGTTGATAGCTTTCTAGGAGTTGTGGTTGACTTTAGGTCAGGGTGGCAGACCCTGCAGCTTGGAGGACCCAAGCCAGTCATGCAACTGAATATAGCGGGCCTGGTACAAAGTCATAGGGAGGGATGGGAATGGTGACAGAGAACATATGCCCTTTGCAAATGGGATGGTTGCTGGTCCTCTGCTTCAGCACATGTTGCCATGCAGGAATATCAGCCCAGTTTCACTAGGTCTCTGTTTTTAAAGATAATCTGGTAATCTGGATTTTTGTGTGAAAATTCCCTGTTTTATAAACACTTTGCAGGAAAACCTTTACTCCGAAATCAAAAGAACATAAAACAACAAAACATGGATCTGTGGGCTGAATTTGGCTTTCAGGTTGCCAGTTTGTCGCTTCTTTTTTATGTTGATTCAGTTATTTCTTCCTGGATTAGTCATAGCTTAAAGGCTGGAGTAGGTCATGTGGTGGAAGCCACAGAGTATAGAACAACGATAAACTGGCATGAAACTACGTTTCTGATTTTTCTATCATTTTATTCAAATCCAAATTACACTATAAATTTTGCTAGAGTTGACTCTTAATGATCTGGACTAAGAAAGGGAGAGTGGCTTGGTTTGTGAACTAACAAAACCTCAAGCAAAGACAAAGAGCACCTGAAGTCCTTTACAGTCCTGAAGTTCTGGGGTAAACTGGCATAGCACCTCATTCTTTGAGTTTCATTTTAATTGTTCTTTCCACACTTGCTGTCAGCTATTTTCTACCATTTCCTACTTTCATTAGAACATGGAAATTTAGACAATGATAAGGGTTTTTATGGGTACATGAAGAAAGAAAGGTTAATTGTTTTCCACGGAAAACTTAATTTAGAACAGGAAATTTGGCAGTACAAATAGATTTCCAAAATTTTTCCCAATTTGGTGATTTTGACCAAGCGTCATAGTTAAGAACTTCATTATTCATAGAAAACACTCTTTTAGACAAAGGTTAATATATTTCCTTTGAAATTCTATTTGGAGGATTATTTTCTTCTTCCAGGTATTGTTAACTAATGTAATTTTAAGCAACATACAAATCTGCTTGGTCTTCATGATGACTCGAAATTGACAACTAATGTTAAAAGTAAATTCCATTATGTACATAGTGGGTTTGTCTACTGCAGGTACACATAAATTAGCCCAGTGCCTAACTGTACAGATCAGTGAATTCAAATTAATCAACAGAATAATTTGACTCCTTTGCTGTTGGCACTGCTTAAGTATATAAATTACTTAAAATCCTAAATAATTATTTACTTATTTACTAACTCCCCCCCAATTGAAAAGTGTGTTATCCTGCTTTATAATACTTGTGTTTGTAAGATAGTAATGTTGCTAGAAAGTTAGAGAGAAAATAAAATTCTACAGAGGGAATTTTGTTTTCTCCTGACCTTACATTATAAAATTGGAGATGAAACTACTATAATAACCCTTCCTACATTCACTTGGAGACTTTTAGCATGCTTGACTCTCTGGAACTCTAGAATTCTGAGAATTCTTCTACTGAAATTCTATTTTGATGTTTACAAATGCTATACAGCTTCAGAATACAAATTAAAAAGCTTTTACAATATATTCACATAGTTCCTATTTTGATTTGTAGATGCGTCTTGGCTTCACCTGGAGACGTCTTTAGTTCCAGGTAGAGTAACCAACTGTCTTGGTTTGCCTGGACACAGGACTTTCAGTGCTAAAACCAGGAAAGTCCTAGGCAAACAAACAGAGTGTTAGCTACCCTAATTCTAGGAGAAGGGGCAAGATTAACCCATGGGACTTAAGGAATATTCTAAACTACCATATGACCCAGCAATCCCACTACTGGGCATATACCCTGAGAAAACCATAATTTAAAAAGAGTCATGTACCACAATGTTCATTTGCAGCTCTATTTACAATAGCCAGGACATGGAAGCAACCTAAGTGTCCATCGACAGATGAATGGATAAAGAAGATGTGGCATATATATACAATGGAATATTACTCAGCCATAAATAGACATGAAATTGAGTTATTTGTAGTGAGGTGGATGGACCTAGAGACTGTCCGGCAGAGTGAAGTAAGTCAGAAAGAGAAAAACAAATACCGTATGCTAACACATATATATGGAATCTAAAAAAAAAAAAAAAAAAAGGTTCTGAAGAACCTAGGGGCAGGACAGGAATAAAGATGCAGACATAGAGAATGGACTTGAGGACACGGGGAGGGGTAAGGGTAAGCTGGGAAGAAGCAAGAGAGTGGCATGGACTTATATACACTACCAAATGTAAAACAGATAGCTAGTGGGAAGCAGCTGCATAGCACAGGGAGATCAGCTTGGTGCTTTGTGACCACCTAGAGGGGTGGGATAGGGAGGGTGGGAGGGAGACGCAAGAGGGAGGAGATATGGGGATATACATATGCATATAGCTGATTCACTTTGTTATACAGCAGAAGCTAACACACCATTGTAAAGCAATTATACTCCAATAAAGATGTTAAAAAAAAAAAAAGAATACTCTGAATGTAAGAAAACTGGCGACCAGTACCAGTAACTTTTTCTACGTTTTGTATTAATAGTTCCTGTAGTCTGTACTGAGATTCTTTCAAGAATGAAAATAGAATAATTAGTCTTTACAGCTTAAGGGAAATTTAAAGGTCATATAATCCAACACCCTCAAATTACCCATGAGAACATGGAGGCCTAGAGAGATTAAGGGACTCAAATGAGATTAAACAGCAGTGACAGAATAATAACTGGAACCTGCCTTTTGACTGCAAGAGAATGCAGAATGGAATCTCTTCAAGCTTAGAATTTTATCTGTGTTGACAAAAGCAGATGAAATACCAAATCATAACTATCTAAGCAATTTCAATAAAACCCAAATTTACTTAAAATCATCATCATATGAAGTCAAAAAAGGTTTTATTAGATTGAATTATCTAGGTGGTTTTAGTTTACCACTTAAATTTCCTCTTACATTAGGACTGTGTCAGACTCAGCCAAAGCCTCACTGCTGCCTTATGGTCCTGGAATAAATGAGCCAATTTTTTCAGAACTTTGAGGAGGTACATATCACAAGGTGTACAGTCACTAGCCTCAGCCTCTTAATGTCCTATGCAACCTTCCAGATAGAGCTGAGACCTGTGATGTCTCTATGATGAACACAACAAAGTGGTAAATGTATAACTGGAGATAACGTTTCACTGGGTTGAAATATTTCACTCATGATTCACAAAAGAAAACATCGAACAATAAATGGAAACATGTATGTTTGCTAAATAACTGGCAAAAACATATCAAAGTATGTTATATCACACTTACCTTTGTTGTTTAGAAAATATGAATAAAAATAATGTCACCATTAGTCCAAATATTCCAAAGATAATAACTAAGAACCATGGAAACCGGAAATCTGAAAAACATAAGAACAACATCTCACTCACAGAACTATGAGTAGTTGAAGTTTACATTCACTCTCCTGTTCCACATAAAAAAATTTCCTAATTTGTATTCATCTAGTAGAGTCAGTGATTTCATCTGCTAACCACCGAAATAGAGTGCAATGACTTAGTATTTTCTGTTCCAAGAACACCTCTATCCACTTCTTCAGATCCTTTCATGTACCAAAAAAAGAAAATCAAAGTAAAGAAACAGCATACAGTTTAAGCACAATCCATGTTTATACAAACAAACTGCTTTAAGCATCTTATGTATTCAGGGTATGTCATTAAAATGCTTCAGCTCTAGGAAAACTTGATGCCTGTTAATATACTACTTTTCCTAAATAATGTCCACTTGGTTTTTTTTTTTTTTTTTTAAAGGTGTGGTGATATTTTTTATCCTCCAGATTGAGGATCCATCAAAAAGATGGGGGCAGAGTTTTACTTTTGAATCATTACTGAAACTTTTTAGACATGCAGGGCATACATTTTCTGCTTAAAAAAATATTGTTTGACAGAAGAAGATCAGTACTAGGACTCCCATCTTTAGATTTTAGTATAATTTGTAGCAAATTTGTGGGAGTCTGTAAAACTTCTATTTCATTTCTCAAGAACAAGTGCCGCAGTGGCAGAGGTTGACTGCTTTTAAGGTGGAATTTACCTTAACGTTGCTTTATTAAAGTAGGCTTTTATGCTGTAATATTTTATTTATTTTCTTATTCAGTTATTAAAAGCCCCAAGGGAGATGTTATGCATATTATAAAGAATTAGTGGGGGAGAGGATATCGTTTTTTTGTATGTTGTGGTACCTATAATTTCATATCAATGATATACTCAGGAACATAATATAAAGCGAGAGTTTAATTTTTTTCTTTTTTAACAGAGAAGAAAAGCTTGTTTAAAAAATGTTTTTGTTAAGGAATTAAATGCCATCACAGTAAGCTTAAAGGGCATGTGGCAAATGTGCTTTTAACCTGAATTTCGTTGTATCAAGTATCATTTGAAACAACAAGCCTGTTGAGTAGAGCTTGGAAAAGATGGTGCTATAGATATTTTCATTTGTGTTATATAGTATCACGGATTCTACCTGTACTATAGAGATTTTCATTTGTGTTATATAGTATCGCGGATTCTACCTGTACTGTAAGTGCAGAAATATAAATTTAATTTCTCTGTAGCTTGTGATTGTTTCATTAACAAACCTCAGACCCTCATGTGGCACTGTAAACCTTCTGTTTTTAATGGGGATGAGTTATAGCCAATTCCCATTTGGGAGTGACAATACTTTATACACTTACTATTCATTGTTAAGCAGCCTTCTTTATTTCTGTATCCAAAAATTTAAATTCTTTTATTCTGAATTCATAGGTCTCATTTCTTTAAACTATATGTTTATGTTTCTTTTATATAGGATCTTCAAATATTCCTTGTCACTCTTGAGCGTATCTAGCACATGATTTATTAAGCCTTCCTCCAGGTAAAAGCCACACCCAAACCTTCTAAAACCAATAAACACCTGCCATTGACTACTTATGCTGACTCAATATTAGGAATTCTCTAAGGTGCCACATAGATAGCCATCCATCCAGATTCAGAAATTCTTCACTGTGTATATGAAAAACATTTTTTTTTCTGATTATAAGTGCAAAACAAACTCATAGAAAATACTAGAAATATAGAAACAAGGAAATAAAGAAATGAAGAAAAGAATCACCTGCAATTCCGTTATCCAGAGATACCCCACCCCCTCCATCAGTAGCTTAGTGTATCTTCTGCTCTTTAACTTGCACCTACCCCATGACTTTTCCTGAATAATTCAAAAATGAAATCCTCCTTCCTCTTTTGTAATGGAGAGTACCTGTTAGAGGCAGTGAACTCAAGGTCCCTCATCCTGACAATTGATGCTAACGTATCTTGATCTGGACAACACCCTAACCATCCCTGTATATTGACAAAAACCATGTTGGCTTCCATCTTAATCTCTTAGGTTTACCTTCTTCACATGCAAATGGCCTCATCTGAGGAAGTGTTACAAAGAGCACCTCACTGAACTCGCCATATTTTTCAGAGTTTCGTTGTCTGGATCTCACACGCACTTCATACTCTTTATCCAGTCTCAATGAGTACACTGGAACTGATGTTGACAATACAGGGTCCATCTTTCAAGACAAAATATAAAACCTACTGGTTAGAGAGTCAACAACTCAATGCAATAAGCTCTATGAGGTGTTTCTACGTTTGTATTCAAAATGAATTTCTGTAAAGTAGGCAATGTTTTAAAATGCGCTGGTGGAGTTTGCTATTTAGAGAAAGATTAAGGCAAATAACTTAGTAACACAACATTGTAAATTAACTATACTTCAATTAAAAGGGCTTCCCTGGTGGCGCAGTGGTTGAGAGTCCGCCTGCCGATGCAGGGGACGCGGGTTCGTGCCCCGGTCCGGGAAGATCCCACATGCCGCGGGGTGGCTGGGCCCGTGAGCCATGGCCGCTGAGCCTGCGCGTCCGGAGCCTGTGCTCCGCAACAGGAGAGGCCACAGCAGTGAGAGGCCCACGTACCACGAAAAAAAAAAAAAAAGGTAAAAAAAAAAGAATCATTTTGTTAAATGGGGAGTAGTCTTCAAATTTATTTTGGTATAAACACAAAGATATGATAGACTTGTTTAAAGAAATGCAGCTATATCTTTGCATCAGATATTCTACTAAGATCAAAGCATAATAGAATTATAGTGAATGGAGGAATTATAAAGATTACAGATACGCTGCCTACCCTTTGGGATATTACATTCTTATATAAAGACATCAGAACAGAAAGAAACAAACATATTTCCTGTATCTATATCTGTTCTTTGGAAATCCTGGGTAGTCATTCATATGATCACAGAATTGGAAAGTGTCCTAGAAAAATCATAGTTGTCTTAATTAAACTTGCAAACAATTCTATCAGCTTGCTCTAGAAGGCTTAAAGCCACCTCAAAACAGTTTGCTTTCAAAATTTGTGAAGAAAAGTCACTGGAGGCCTTTGGTAGCAACCAACAGGATTCCACAACCCTGAAGGCCAGGATGTTCCTTCACCTTCCCAGGGAAGGGTAGGTGAGGCTATTAGACCTTTAAGACATGTTGCTATCAAAGAGGTTAGACACAACTAATGATGGTGTTTTCCTCCAAGTCAAATATTCAAAGCAGGTACACAATATGTGCTTTTCTTGTGTTTTTGGGTAGAACATCTTGTTCCTGTTTATAGAAAATTAGGAACATTCTCTTCTTCAACAGCATGGGTTTTATCACATAAATAAGATTCTCATAATTTGTTTTATTAAGTCAGAGCCTGGGCCTTCAGCTTCTAAAACAAATTTCCCTTCACCTCAGTTAGTTTCTGCTCACAAAGTACCTCTTTTTTTCTCCTATGCACACAGAATGGTTAGTTTGCATCTTTTATAGGTGCTTAATATATGGAATATTTGTATACCTAAAATGCTTCTGAATATTAAATTCATTTTATTATTTTTCTTAAACTATTTAAAAAAGCCTATGTTTCCATTCTTGAAGCCCTCATTTCTCTGTCACTGTCACCAGTACTATTTCTTTACAGATTTCATTAATAACAAAACCAAAAAGGGACCCTCAGCCATTCGACCCATAGCCCCCTCTCCATCTTCCCTCACCCTTCCACACCAGCCACACCAAACTCAAATTTGCTCACAGGGCTCCTAATACCCGCCCTGCTCCCTGCCACCTTCCTATGAGGGAAAGCCTATTCTTGGCTAATTCTCAGCGCAAGTACTGCTGATATTCTAAGAAGCCTCTTCTGGCAATTATCCCTACTCCATCCTGCCAGGTAGTACACATATTACTTCTTTTAATTCATTGCTCTAATTTCTGTATTATACTGCAAATTCCCTGGGGGGCAAACGATGCCTTCATTTTCTTTACATTTCCAAAGCCCAGCACAATACCAGGTATATAGCGGGTACTCAAGAGATGGCCAACACATTGTGGATAATTCTACGCCACCCATTAAGTCTTAAAAAAGATAAAAGCCAACAAACTCTTAACTTGGTTTAGCAGGTAAATAGTTGTAAGCAACTATATGGTCATTAGAATTACTTTTATATTCAAAATGTGTTTAATACGTTAAAAATGGGCATAGTAATACCAAATTCAATATTGTCAAATGTAACATGAATTCCTGATACAAGCAACAAACATTAGCCTTTTCCCCCTTGACTTAAAACCCTCTCTTCTTTTTATGCTTATGCCTCTTGTTCTCGTAACCAAGTAGAATGTAAGTTCTTCAAGAGAGGTCAATTCTTATAGATGGGCCCTTGATACTCATGACAATTCTGAGATACCTTGCAAATTACCAAACTTATAAATATCATGAATTTGTAACTTCATTTATAAAAGGTAAGCAAAGTAATAGTTAATTGACCCCTTTGGACTTATCTGATGAGATTTAGCAGGGATGCAATGAAAAGTGCCGCAAAGCCAAGTTGGGATGCAGCCCTGAATGGTCGACCGAGTCCCATGCTCCCACGCACCTGGCTCAGAGTGTGTGATCCCTATCAGTGCCTCGGCTGGGACAGAACTACAGGCCATGGACTTTCTGGGTTCAAACTATCAGCACTCAGTTTGTGTGCTAATGTTCTGATTTACATCTTTGCTTTTTCTAGGCTGTCAAACTTTTTTTTGTTTCAGGTCTCCTCCACACTCTTAAAAATGATTGAGAATCCTAAAGATTTTGGTTTTTTTGGGTTATACCTTTCACTATTTACCATACTAGAAACTGAAAATGAGAATTTTAAAAATACTAATTTCAAAATTAAAATAATAGATTTTATGTTAACGTTTTTATAAAAATTATTGTACTTTCTGAAAGAATAGAATTATAGTGAGAAAAATGACATTGTTTTACATTTTTGCAAAGCTCTTTAATATCTGGCTCAATGGCTGTATTTTTACAACTGTCTCTGAATTAAAACTGCTAGGATGTGTTGTTTTGGTTGAGGTGCATAAATAAAACTTGGTCTCACAGATATATAGTTAGGAAATGGAAGAGATATTTTAATACTCTTTTCAGATGACTGTATATATTCTTCTTTAACACCAACAAAAAAACTCAGTAAGTGGTATTTTCTTAAAGGTTAGTTGCAATGTGGAACCTGAAACTCTATCAATGAATCTTTCATACTTCATTATATTAAAATCCACCATTCCATCTAGTACTTTGAATGGATCATTTCCCCATGTGTGGTTTTGGTTACAGTACGTACTGGTCATTTGGAAAATATTGTTCACTGAGTTATGCAGATTTTCTAAATGTTCACACATTTCACTATACAATGTTTTAAAAAAACCTCACTTTTGCTTATATCACCATTGATCTCATTAGGAGATCTTCAAAGGTTGGGGAAGCTATCAAGCTCACAGCTGCAGATGGCAAGTTTTCCAAAATTCGAATTTAACCTTGAAAGCTCAAATTTTCTCCTTGGCAACAAATACTGTCAATTGTTTTTCTTAAGTGTTAAGTTCACTTTTTCAAGAAATGTCGCCAAGTATTTGCCAACTCAAATATGAAAAGCCATCCAGCTGTTTATCAGTTATTCTTTCAAAGTAAAAATGGTATTCCAAGCAAAAAGCAGCTAGTTCTAGCAGGCAACTCAGGTGTTTAAATGCCTTTTCTCAAGATAAGCAACCACACCTCAGTATGTAGCTGCAGTGCTTTATGTGTACTTCCCATGTGTCGCACAGAAGATTAAAAAGCTACATACTCAGAAGTCGTGATTTAATAAAATTAATAATATACGCAGCTTCATCGAGGACATTCTTATGTGAAACTACCTTCCCCCCAGCCGTGCTCACCGCTTCTTAACTGTGAGTGCACGGTGGTGAAGAATGCAGTGACTGTCAGTACGATTTGGAATTACTGCCTTGATTTGTGCTAAGGCAGCAGCAGTGTTTCCACCATTGTGTTTGTACCAACTGTGTAAATCTCGACACAGTGAAAAAAGGAAAGAACATTCTAGTATTATTATGAAAATAGTCTTGAGCTTGTGGACTCCCTGAAAGGGTGTCCCTCAGGGGTCCAAAGTTTACACCTTGGGAACTGCTGCCCTGGGATGCCTAGCACCGTGCCTCGTGCACGGTAGTTATTTCAATACCTGGTTGCTGAACGAATGTTTGACTGAAGCTTGAATTTAGAAAGCCTTGTTTGACTCAGCATCCAGCCAAGCTTTTCTGCACCAAGTTATGGAACAGATATCTAAATTAAAATGATTCTGCAAACAGAACCTTGAAGCCCAATATTTAACTGTGCACAGCTGCTCTAAGCTTAACTTTCCTCTAATGACAAAACTGGCTTCTTCCTCAGCAGTTCACTCAATGGACAGGGCCCAGTGTCTCAAAATTCTGGGAGTGAGGCTGTGCCGGGCTGCTGGGCACGACCTGGTGACCAGCCAGAAACCACTTGGCTTGGCCAGGCCTGTGGCTGTGGCTAGACTCATTTAGAATTGGTTACATTGGGAGCAGCATGATAATCCTGGTTTCTCCTTGTTGTGTGCCATGTGGACTTTATCGAAGTGCCCAGTTCCCATACACTTGGCAAGGAAGTGTGGGGTTCAGAGGTCAACCAGTACCATGCCACTTGCTTACATAAAAACCTCTTAGCTTGATTTTCCTTTGAGGTATGTAACAAAACATCCTTCTGAAACCTCTAGGGGATTGATTCCCTCCTCCTCTGTTTCCCTCCTGGAGTCACTCAAGAACATATTTTAATGGGAGTCTGGTGAAGAGTAGCAACTAAAATCATGGGACAATATTTAGCCACAGCTCACTGTTGACCTTGATCATAACCCTTCCCATGTTTAGCCACATCCTCAAAGGCAGCTAAGTGGCTAGAGTGCACGATATTGTTCTGAAGTTCAACTGGATACCAGTGATGACTGGGGAAATATAGTTTTCCTTTCCTTCCACAGGTTTCTGTATAAAACTCCATGTAAGCATTTGCTGTCTTAAAGAATTCCAAGATGATATTTTACTGATTATATCCATTTTTCTCAAGTAAGCAATTAGAGAGCATATAGCATGGGCATGTGGTATTAAGTCAAAAGGAAGTCTATAAATGAGCGGGGGTTGTTAAACTAAAAAGAAGAAAAGTCAAAGGATTTTTAAATGTGACATGTAATGATATCTTACCATTTTCCACTGGGTCTCATTTACTTCTTTGTATTGCAGTTCATACTCCAGGACTATCCATCCCTTCTGAACATCTGCATTTGGTGGTGGTTCCCATCTCACTTGGATATCTGCATGAATCCCTGTTAAACTGATGTTCAGTAAAGTCCAGTTGAGGCCAATGGGTGGATCTGGTTGCACTGGGCATTTCAACAGAGAATTAGTACACAGACACAGCTCGATATTAGTGGAATGCTTTCTTCCGAAGAGACTGTTACTTTATACATTTTTATTATTCAAACTCTTAATTCTTCCAATATTCCCACTTTATGGGAGAGTATCATTTTTTTTTTAACATCTTTATTGGAGTATAATTGGTTTACAATGGTGTGTTAGTTTCTGCTTTACAACAAAGTGAATCATTTTTTAACTTAAGGGTGATCTGTTTTTAACTTAAAAAAAAGCCCCTATAAAAAACTTCTTTTTGAGTCTAAAATCTGATCTATAGCTATTCTTAAAGATTTGCCATGTTTCACACTTCTTTTGGCTCTGATAGGATTAATACTTTGGGATTTTGGCAAAGGAATTCACTTTAACTCAGAACTGAAGGAAGAGAGAGTCAGAAAGATCTATGGTATTTAAACATGTTGCTGTTTTGGAACTAGGGGTGGAGAAATCTTTTTTCTTCCAAGCTGTATGGGACCTGGGGCAAGATCTTTCTTATTTTCTTTCTCATTTCTTGTCTTTGCCACTTCTTTACGGCTACAGACGCACAATCCTTCCAAACACTCAGTAAATACTCCTTAGCTTGTCTTCCTAGCCACATGTGATCATTTCTTCAGATATAAAATGAAGGCATTACACTGCTCTCTCAAATGGTAATGAATCAGTGTTTTCTGTGTTTTACTTAACTGCATGCTACTGACCACTGTGGAGTGGATACTACTTTATAAAAAAATGAGAAAGTCCCAATTTGACTAATCATGACCACATTTTGGAAATTAAATTGAAGGGATTTGCAAAATAGCTAAGCTACCCACATCATGATAGTTATACCTCATCTTTCTGGATTTGTTGGGGACTGATGAATTCTGAAAACCAAAGCTTAACCCTTTATATGACTGAACTATAAAAATATTTTTAACGCAAAATTTTCTCCAACTTATTACTCATGTTGCATCTTACAAATCTTCCTGTCTACTTTAAACAGAGGAAATAGAACTGGGTCCTTTTTGAGAAGGCTCAGTACCACCGTTATGAGCATAATAATAACCTCTTCCTTACTTTTATGCTTATTTCGAGGTGCCTTAGTTGACACATTACGGTGTGAGAAACACCCTGAGATGTTTAAAAAGCATCTGAAACTGAATGCATTCAAAGGCAAGTCTTCTGCCTGAAGCTTGCTCCTCTTCTGCCTTCCCTGGTTCTGTTAATGGCGACTCCATTCCTCCAGTTGCTCAGGATAAAAATTCAACTCTTCCCGGACTCATCTTTTTTTTTTTTTTGCAGTACGCGGGCCTCTCACTGTTGTAGCCTCTCCCGTTGCGGAGCACAGGCTCCGGACGCGCAGGCTCAGCGGCCATGGCTCACGGGCCCAGCCGCTCCGCGGCACGTGGGATCCTCCCGGACCGGGGCACGAACCCGCGTCCCCCGCATCGGCAGGCGGACTCCCAACCACTGCGCCACCAGGGAAGCCCCCGGACTCATCTTTTTTTTCACCATCCCACATTCTGTCAGCTGTACTTTCAAGATATTCCCCAAATCCACCCACTTCTCATCACCTGCATGGCTCCAACCTGGTCCTAGCCATCATCATTTTTGTTGTTGCTGTTGTTGTTGCTGCATTAGCCTCCCAACTAGTCTCTTCCTGTGGTCCTTGTCCCCCTTCAGTCTATTCTCAACACAGCCCTCAATACTGTGGACATGGTGGTCATCTTAAGTTAGGTCATATCACTCATCATTTAAAGTCTTCCAAAGGCTTCCTATCTCACTCCAGATGAAAGCCAAAGTCACACAATGGCTTAAAGGGTACCTTAGCTTTGACCCTCTGACCGCTGGGACCTGGTCCATGACCACGCGCCTCCTCGCTCTCTGTGTATCCCCTCGCTACCCCATGCTGCTCCTTGAGAGAGCAAAGGCATGCTCCCGCTTCAGGATCTTTACCCTTCCTGTGCCCTCTTCCCTCAGGTGGACACGTGACTGTTCTCTCAGTTCCTTTTTCACTCAAGTGTCGCCGTCTCGGTGAAGCCGTGTCTGACTCTGACAACGCTACCACTGCAACCTCTCCAGCATGCTTTTCTCCCTCCCGAGGTTATCTCTCTTCGCAGCATGGCCTCTTTCCACCCTCACTGGGAAAATGTCCCACTAGGGCAGACGTTTTCTGTCCCCAGCACCTAGAACACTGCCTGGTCCAAGCAAGAGACTCAACGATTGGCTGAATAAACTGAATGAATGACAAATGCCTAAGTAATATATGACTTTAAATCCAAAGACGAGCCCTGTGAGGTCTAGTAGGATACATTCATAATACATGAGGAAGCTGAGGCTTGTGACTGTCATCCTCAGACCTAGGCTCACCTCAGTTCTTTGTTGTCTCTCACTCTCAGCTCCCTCCCTCCCTGCTTTCATGGTAACTCTGCCCGTCATCATCTTTTGCCTTGATTATCACAAAGTCTTCTAATCCCCATACCTCTCTAGTCTGTGCTATTCCAATCTACCCTCTACACTGCAGCAAGACGAATTCCCCTGAGACAATAGTACCATGCTGTATGGCTTTGAGGTTAAGAGCATGGGCTCTGGAGATATGCTGCTTAGGTTCAAATCTCAGCTCTGCCTACCAGCTGTCTGACCTTGAGCTAGTCATTGATCCCCTGCTTTGGGGATCAGTTTCATCATCTGTAAAATGGGGATTATAATAGAACCTATCTCACACAGTTATCATACCTGATCTATGGTAAATGCTTTGTAAGTGTTAGCAATAAATATCCTGAGGTCATTTCCCTGCTTAAGCATCCTCAAATGTACCCCTGGGCAGTAAGGTAAAGTCCAAATTCCTTTGTGGGGTACACAAGATCAATTGATGATTTCTCTGGCCAGCGAGTCAGGCCTGCCAAACTGCTCCCGAGTCTGTGAACATTCTGTGCTGTTTGTCACTTTTGGAACTTAGTCGCTGTTGGAAGACACAGTCCATCTTGTATAACTGGCAACTCCTGCTGATGCTTTAAGAAGTAACTGAACTGGTCACCATCTCTGTGCAGCCCTTTCTCATCCCTCAGGCCCAGTCAATCATTCACACCTCTGGCCACAACCTCGGCTTGCTGTGCATTCCACACACCTTGAGTCCGGCACCTATTGTGCTGTATCACAATTACTTGTTAACCTGCCTGATTTCCCTACTTGACTGCGTCTTACTCGTTCTGTAGCCAACACACCCAGCACAGTGCCCGGCTCATGGCAAGCACTCGGTGAAAGTCAGCCAAGTAAACGAGTGGGGCTGGCTCTTGGCAGGGACAGGGTTAGAACACGGGTCTTGACACAGTAGTCTTTCCACTACCCATGTAGCCACTAGACAGCTACATCTATTGATGTTAGGGCGTATGCACGAATAGTTCCTCTAAACCGTATAATTGGGTTCTCTTTTCTGCTTGGTGCAGTTTTCTCAATCTTCTCCCTCAAAGTCAGGCTATCAGATTTACTTGTTTCCATCTGCAACTTCTACCCACACTCTCTCTGGCTCTTCCAGTCTGCTGATGCCTGGGAAACCACACACAAGAACAACACATCTGAGAGAGGCTCCAAGGAATTCCTATAAGCAACAAATGAGCTTTGTGGATAGATCTGAGGCACCAATGTCAGCTACTCATGGTCCTTCTTTGATTCTTTCTGTTTAGCTGTTTATACTATTATAGTATAAACATGAATATGCCAATTATGGTTGTTTGTTTTGTTTCATTTCCCCTGTGTCTACATGATGGGCAAGGGATAAGCTGCTTGGACCTTTCACTTCGTTCACTGAGCTGATTACCTCCAGTGTTTATTCTGAGATCTTATAAACGTGTCTTTAAACTGATTTTGGCTGTTCTGTCAATGTAAAATTCCAGAATGATTATGCCTTGTGGTAAAGAAAATCTAGGCCTTTATTATAGCAATGACAGAGATCAAGGCCAATGTATTTCAGTAGATCAGAATATAATAATCATGCCAAATCATTAGGAGAGAAGGAATCTTAAAAGTGCATTGAGTTTGTCCCTTGCAGCGGCACACAAGAATACAACCCAGCTTTAGAGACCTTCTCGAGGAAAAGACTCCATAAAACTCCTATTCTTTTCTTTACAACATTTACTGCCAGACTGTTTTCATGTTAGAGCCAACCCAAGCTCCCTCTGCCCTTTCTCTCTTGTTCACCAGCTGATCTCATGCACTGTAAAGGAGACCTCCATCCCTCTACAGAGTGCAATGACACAGCCTTCCTATTTGCATACACTTGGACTTCGCAGCCTTCCCCACTTATTTAATCTAAAGCCATGTCAAATAAAACACAAACCTGTGATTTACCTATTTCCTCAACAGAGAAACACTTTTGATCCACAGTATCACCATTGCTAGTTAGCTTGATACAGTAGGGGATCCAAATGGAGGTATAAGATGAATTAAAGTAACAGCTGTTTTCTCCAGCAGAGACATAATCGGGGCATTCTTTCCATTCTTGAGTCCATTCTTGAGTGCTCCTGAAATGGAGGGTAAAAAAGGATGAATTGTTCCCCCAAATCATGCCATAGCTTAAGCCAGAGCAAGGTGCTTGGCAGTCAGATTCAATAAATTGGGACACGACTATGTTATGAGCAAGTATCTTAGTGGCACCATTTCCAAGAAGTAACACATCTGTGGATTGATGATCAGTGTCTGTAGACCGACAGAAGGCCATTTGGTGCTTCTGCCTATACCAAAAGCATCCCTTCATTGACTGCGCATAATGTGCCAGCTCCTAAATTAAGTGATTTATTGGCAGTTACTTCATTGTCCCCATTCTGCAGATGAGGGTTCTCAGGCTTACGAAGGTTTAAAAATGTTCCTTTATTAAAATACTGCAGAGAGTCAACCCCCAAACTATAGAGGTTCCCAGAGAATAGCTGAGTCTTTAAACCTGGGTATTCCCCCAACTTACGGTGGAAGAAACTGAGGCAGCACACTGATGGTGTTCTGCAGGCTGAGTGATGTGGAGATTTGGGTGGCCCTGAAGTGGAAAATTGGCTACCGCCCTGCTCTGAACTGCTGCATCCTGTGTCCATCTCCCCAAAGCTGTCCATTGTTTGGGGGGGGGGATGGTTTCCTGTTGCCTTGAACTCCTTCCCATTCTCCTGATTTTTTTCCTTAATTACATGAAGAGCCACGGGAACATTTCAAACATGCTGGACATCCAGGTAACCTTTAAGAAACATGGGAGTCCTAGGATTTTCCCCTCTACTCATAAAAGAGACAAAAGCCATGAACCCAGAAATTAAAAAAAATTCTCCAAACTGAGAAAGCATTTTTCTTCTCTATTTTGTAAATAGAAATGGACATTTAATTACAATATCAAAAAAAAGGAAAACAAAAATGGGCTGAACTGAATCAATGTGTTTGCCTATCAGTTCCTTTTTTGGTTTCTCTACAAAGAACACGTTCATCGTTTCCTATATCTTTGATCAGATAAGAACAAACAAAACAAGTCATGAAGGATAGATGGACACATGGAGAACACTGAAGAAATCAGAAAAGCTACATCTCCATATTTAAATTCTACCATAGAGTTATTCACCTCTATCCCAGTCTACAGAAAGCATCATTTACCCAGATGACTTAGAACAACAGCAGGATGTGTGTCGAAGAGAAAAGAGATGCCGGGAAGTTCACCGTGGGAGGACGTCAGTTTGGGGAAAGGATATTCCCTGATCAGCTGCTAAGGGGACCTGAACAAAACTGCCGAGCAAGCAAAAGATCGCTCAGACTCAAGTCCATCCCAGCGGGAACTGAGCAAACATGTGAGATAACGTGACACAAGCTCTCCTCACATTTCCCATCTGCTTGCCTGACTGAATGAGTGAATTCAGCAAGCCATCACCGGGTGTCTCCAATGCAAGCAGCATGTAAGCATTATAGCTGGCACTAGCACTGTGTGGCTATAATGATGAATAAGACTTGATCACTACCTTCAGGCTAGAAGACGACTCGGAAATTACCATCTGAGTACTTTCTTTTTTTGTCCCCTTTATTCAGTATCCTGATGTTTCATAAGCATTGATTATATATAAAACACTGTGCCAGCTATTATGTGGGATTCATGTGAACTACTCCTGCCTCAGGGGAATGACGGAGAAACTGTATTACAAAGCAGTGTGGCTAAGTGTTTACACATAGTACTCACTGGAGTTAGAAGAGGGAATGATTGCTCTTGGCTGCTCATGGAAGGCTTCAAGGTGGAGGTGGTGTTTTTAGCAATCTTGAAGATGGGTAAAAGTTTAACAGATGGCAACAGGGAAAGGAAGAGAGAGAACAGAAGGCAATGGAATATAATTGGGAAAAACTTTCTTAAATTAGAATTGCTACTTAGGTGGGGTAATTGATTATTTACTTACTCTTCACTAGGCTATCGGCCCAGAAGGGGGTCTATAAGTCAAGGAGACATAAAGCCAGGTAATCTGTGGCTGAGGGAGAAGCGGGTAGGAACGACCTTGTGTCGGCTGAGGCGCTTGGGGCTGGCAGGCCAGACTGTGGAGGTCTGTGAGCATCACCCCAGGGGGGCGGGTGCTGGGCAGCAGTGGACAGCAAGGACCCTGCAGGCTGTGGGAAGGCAGGATGAAGAGCTGGGAGAAGACACATGTTTCCTTCGTTACAGCTGTTTCCCAAGTTTGGCACTAGGAGGAAAGTTGTGTAACATCAGGGGGTCCTTGAGACAGCTGCTTGTCAGCTGTTGGAAAGAACTTGGGATTAACATGGACAGTGAACTGTTGCTTAATTTCTGGTTGAGATTCTCAAAAGCTGCATGCTCTTGGATGAGAGGGAGATTCATCTCCGATGGGAAAATTAAGTGGGTAGAGGGTAGAAGTAAGAATCGTGTGTATTGTGTGTATGTGTTTAGAATAGGAAAAAGATAAAAAAGAAATATTGATAGGTGGGTCATTGAAGCATGGTATGGTTTGTTTTATCTTGGCTTTCAAACAAAATAAGAGTATAGTAAAGAGAATGGTTTAAGAGATTGCCCAGGAAATGAGGCTTCCATATAACAGTAAAGGACATATCAAATGTATTTAGCATAATTGACAGTATTAAAGTTACTATTAAAACATTCTAGTGCTTAGCAGGTCTGGATTTGTAATAGGGAGGTTAGCTCTGTGTATTTCACACAGTTTCTCAACTTTGGCTTGTCAGCGCCCTGGTCCCCATGGGGACTGTATGAAAAACACTGTTTAGATTGTCCCCAACCCATTAGCTCCACGGAACAAACGACTTAAAGCACTTATCTTAAGCACAATAGATCCAGAAGAGCTAGCTCAAAACACAACTCCCAACCCCCTCCCTCACTAACTGAAGTTGAATTTTATTTTAAATACATATTTAACACTTCTTTTTAAACTATTAAATTTAGAGAAAAAAAATGGGGTCTTCCCGGGTGGCGTAGTGGTTGAGAGTCCGCCTGCCGATGCAGGGGACACGGGTTCGTGCCCCGGTCCGGGAAGAGCCCACATGCCGCGGAGCGGCTGGGCCCGTGAGCCATGGCCGCTGAGCCTGCGCGTCCGCGCGTCCGGAGCCTGTGCTCCGCAACGGGAGAGGCCACAGCAGTGAGAGGCCCGTGTACCGCAAAAAAAACAAAACAAAACAAAAATCAAATGGACTCACAAAACAGATACTCTGTTGCCTGCCTTCACTGGGTTGAATTTCTCTACAGATGACCAAAGCCCGTTTATGGAAGCTACTCCCTACACTTAAGTGCTTTAGGTTCGCTCCCAGACTGGCTTGTGACATACAGGTGAGAACTATAGCAAGAGCCTATCAATAAAAATCAGAAGAAAGAGCAGAAGAAATGCTTTCCACCTAAAGGTAACCAATTGGAAGAGAAATAAAAAAAAAAATACAACATCATTTATGTTCTAAGGGCAACTGTTTTCATTATCTCCAGATCATGCGTTTTAGGCTTAAAATTTAACATATTCCTTAAAAAAAGAAAAGAAAGTAAAACTGGCTCTTTCTCCTTTCTAATTTCCCCCACCACCTTGCATGGAAAAGAAACTTTCTTTTCAAAAGCCAGGGTGATTTGGGGAGGGGGTTTGGTGGGGGAGAGAGAATCTTTGAGACTGAATCTTCACACGCCCACTTCTTTGAAAACGAGGCATCTGCAGGCAAAAGGCTGAGAGCAGAGCATGCTGACAGGCTCCCAGAGCCTCTTTTTGCCAGGTCTGTGATTTGCATTCTTGCTGAGTCCCCTCCAAGCTCAGAGGCTGAATTGGGCACAGTCTCCATCACAGGGTGGCACAGACTGTTCTGAACTGGCTGCCTCTTCCCCCAGCTCACCTGGCCAGGAGCAGAGCCAGCCAAGCCTGCAGCTGCCTCTGCGTCTGTCCTCTGGGCCCGACGTGTTTAGATTCCCTTGTGCTTTAGCTACCAAGGCAGGCCGGGAGTGCATCAGCCCCCCCCTTCTCCTCCCAGCCTCCAGTGCTCTGGCTCTGGATGACAACATGTCACAGTTTCATCTCTGTATCAGGGATGGGGAGTCATGATTCTATAGTCCCAGGAGTTGCCTGGGAACTGAATTCTAAGAAACAATGACAAGAGTCAGAAAATGCATTTGTATTTTCCGCTTTGTGTAAGTGGGTAACATGAAGGCAACACATTTGTCCTCTTAATTGGTGCAGTCCTGATAAAGTATATTCCTGATACTCCTAATTCCCTTAATTCTCCCCTTTCCAGAGAAACCGGGCTAGGCGCTCATGTTATTTTGGCTAAGATATTCAAAATAGTTAAATGCTTATAGAGAAAACACAAAACACTGATTTTGCCAGTTTGGTAGGCCCTAATTATGAGGTTGTACTTAGGGGGTTTGAGGATGTGACAATTTCTTCCCCTGGGATCCCAAACTCTACTAGGACAATAATTGATGACGTCTTTCTGAAGAGATCCAAGACTTTCCCCCACCTCGTCACACTTTTAGTGGCATCTCTACTGGCACGGGGCTGGGTTTGGACTAGGGATGCTGAAAAGCCTGGGCTGTGCTGAGAAGGCCTGGAGGCAAAGGTATGTGGCCCTGATGGATGAGGGTAAGGGACAAATATATATTTGTGAAGGCTGCATCCTTTTGGATCTTTTTACTCAGGTTCAAACTTGGTGAATACTAGGGTGGTGAAAATCTATTTTCATAAAGTGGGCCCAACTGCTATTTCTCTCTTTTATTTTAGTTAGTTGTGCCAGTATGAATAACAGTGTATTTTGTTTTGATTGAGCTCTAAGTTGCTGAAGCAAAAGTATGAAAACTGAACCTACTAAGTCTCTCTTCATTTAACAATAATTTCAGAGGATATTCAAAAGTGCTACCAGACATTTTAGCTTCCTGTCCAAATGTATGTATTCAAATCAGCTTTGTCAACCGGCCCCTACCTCTCTGCAGTATCAGCCTTGCTGGGAAAAAAAAGTGCATTTGGTGCCCAACCATCTCATCTTTGTGTGCCCTTTGGGGTACATCTGAGAGACCTCTCACACACCTGGAAGGTGACTAAGGCCAGTCCTAGTTGCTAATTCACAGTATTTATTTGCAAATTAAGCATCCAGCTCTGCATTAAAAATGGTCTTATAGCACACCAATAATCATAAGCAGTAAAGAATCAAAAATCACTTTTGTAGCCCAGCAATTAGAATTCTATATTATTTTAAATTATTATCACGCTACCAATAATAAGGATAGCAGCTACCATTTATTCAGTACTTACTATGCTTGTCACCAAGCACCGCGATAAGTGTTTTTCATGGATTAGTTAATAGAAGCCTCACAAGAAGCCATGTGGCAAGGTCTATTATCTCCATTTTGCAAATGAGGCGGCTGAATTGTTGACAGACTGACTAATCTGCCCAGCACCACTCTGTGAGCGAGGGCCGGAGCCAGGCTGAAATGCGAGATGGTTGGCCCTGAGCTCATGCCCTTAACTGCCTGCTGCCTCTACCTTTCCTTTCCCCGCTCCTCTGGGGGACTGACAGCACCATCCTTGGACAGATGACCACCTCACATCAGGGGTCTCCACTAATCTTGCATCTTGGATTAGGCCTTCCCTGGGGGTTGGGTGGAAAAGAGGAGATGATAGAGTGTTTGAGCCTAAAATTTTAGAAGCAAAAAGGTACAACATGAGAGTAAACAGAAATGGAGATCGTGCCAGGTGAGGGGTAAGAAATAAAGGACTTGGGTGGTGATCATGTTGGAAGATCTTTGTTTCACTCTTCCCGTGTTATTTTACAGGACCATCAGTAAAAATGGAAGAGAGAAGCATCACAGTCCCTCACTGAATGTAACTAATTTAACAGGGACATAGTCTATTTTCTACATAGGAACCAGTCTTTTAAAACACACATCTTTAAAAACATTAAAAAAAAACCCTATGGCTTCCCACCACAGAGAAAGTAGGCTGTGCCGTGGCCTGCAAGGCTCGTCTCAGTTTGGCCCTGCTAACCCTCTGACTTCTCCCCCATTACTCTCCCTGTCTACCACCTTGTACCATCCGGCCTCCTGCTTTCTTCCAACCTGCCACATTGGCCTCAGGGCCTTTGCACTTGCAATTTCCTCTGTCTGGACAGTCTTTCCCCCAGATACTCACATGGCCTCTCTCACGTCATTTATGTCTCCGCTATAATGCACCACAGAGAGGCCTCCGATGACCTCCTCATTTAAGATGTCACCCGAGCTCCTGACATATACACATACTCATGCACACTCACTTTGTTCACCCCCCCATATGCTCACGCACATTTACACATACAGACACTCATGCACAACCACACACCCTCACACATATTCACACGTGCATACTCACCCACCTTCCCACATTCATGCACAGTCACACTTGTACCCACTTTTACATACACACATTCTTGCACTCACAAACATGCTCACTCATACCTTCACACACTCATCCTCAGACACTCTCAAGCACATGCATATATTTACACAGTGCTAACTCTCTTTCTGGCTTTACTTTTCTTAACCATGTTGCCAGCTGACATTTAATTTTTTAATTAAAACATTTTTTTGTCTGTCTTCCCCCACTGGAAACAAATCTCCATGAGACCAGGGACTTTATCTTTTTGTAATCACTACTGTATCTCCAGGGCCTAAAACAGTACCCAACACAGAGTAAGGGCTTAATTAATATTTTTGAATAAATGAATGGGTGAATGCATTTAGGTCACCAAAATAGGTTATTTCCGTTCCTACCACTGAATGTGACTCAATACGTTTTAATGAGAAAATCCGTAGAAGAGAAAAGTCAGAAAGGCATGAAGCCTGCACCTTCTGATATAGAACAGCTGTATGGATCCTGGGCTCTGTAAACCATGATGAACCCCATCTGTCCAGTGGCATGAGAAAGTCTCTAGTTCAGGTGAACGGCACTTGGTGAATTTAGGCTTCCCGGAAGAATCTGCAGAATAAAGAGAAAAGGCAAGGCATGATATTGGGAGGGTAACAGATGGTCCTAATGAAACACATACTTAAAGCGGTCAAGAACAACCATTTCTTCTAGAAATGCTGTTTTCTTGGGTCACAGCTACAGAACTGCTGGCTGCCAGTTATTTCTCTGTCAGCCCCGATTCCAGGGACAGACCATTTTGTCTTTATTTCCAACATTATTTCTTGGGGCCTGTTTAAGAAACCGGAGCTAGAGATGAGGATTTGGGCACAGGCAGTTTATTTGGAGGGTGACCCCAGGAAAGGGAGAGAGGGGCATGGGGAAGGGAAAACAGTTAGCAAAGTGTCTGCTCTTCGGCTCATGCCCATAGTGGCTGACAGGGGTCCAACCCCACAGAGGTCCCTTTGAGAAGCTGTGAAGAGTGTGCCTTCCCTGTGTCCTCGACAATGATGGGAGCCCAGGGCGTTTATGCACCAACTCCCATCGGTTGAGGGCTGCCCTGGAGGTGTTAATGCCACTGAACTTCTAGGCTGCATCTGCACATGGGCTGAGGGTCCTCACCTGACTTCTGAGAAACCTAGGCAGGCACCTGAAGTGTGCCCAGCAACGTGCATGGTGGCAGCTGCCCACCATGGATGGCTGCGTTGGCACCAGGTGGGCCCCAGAGAACCACAGAGGCTTTTCTCTTTTTACAGATGTTTGATAAAGTCGCTAATGTTTGCATTCTTTTCAAAGATTCAGCCAGTAAACTCATTAAATAGGTATCATTAAATAGATACCTACTTTCAACAACTTGTGCATATATATACGTGTCAATTCTAATTTGGGAAGTGGAGAAAGACTCCTGTGTGTTAGGATCTTAGCCAAACTCCTCTGCATCTATGAAAACTGCAGCTATGAATGTGCAGCAGGTCTGAGGTAAAATCAATTTTTGTATATCAATTTTCATTGTTCTTCTGACTTCCGTGGCCATTTTGGAGACTGTGGTCAATGTTTATGAACCCACTCAGAGCACTGAAGCCCTGGAGCCTGTGTAATCTATTACAAATGAAAAAGGTGTATGTTTCTTTAGGCAAGCAACTATTATACAGTAGAGTTCCTGGAAAAGCTCCTTCTTCTATTAGCTGAAGCACTGGAAGTAGCTTTTAGATCCTTCCAGAAAATCAGTGCTAAAAAAACCACATTTAAACCACAACTAACATGTTTTAACGCCTGCAGGGTTGAGGGGAGGATTGCACATTCTGACTGTTTTTTTTGCACAGAATGTGAGAAGAGGAAATACACCAGATTTCAAATTGAGAGATCTGTGATGTAGTCTCAGCTCTGATACTATTTAGCCTTGAACTTCTCAAGTCATTTGGACCTCAGTTTTCTCAATAGAGAGTCTGGAATAGATGAGATCCAAGGTACTTTACAACTTCACTTTTACAATTAAGTGACATATACAACCACTAATAACAATCTACAGGATCAAAACATAATTTTGGCATTGGAGCCCAAACCACCAGAGAACACCAAATGCAAACACCATCCAGGTTCCTATATTCCCTGTGCAGTAAGCCTGCCACATAATGGCAAGAATAATAAACCTAATCTGAAAACTTGAAACATGAAGGGAAAAAAAAATACTTTGCTAGCTGGGGGAAAAACAACTTAAAAAGAATTAATTTGAAACACATTTCGCTTGCTTAAACTTACTATTCTTGTTTATTCTGTTTCCTTTTAACTCCAGATATACAGAAAGGCCCATATTATCCTGCATTCTAAATAAGAAATAGGAAATTCATGGTTGTGGTGCTAATGTGATGAAATACGTGCCCACGGAGGAATCCCGATGTAGGCGCAGTGCAGCAAAGCTACTTTTTTGTCTTTTTTGATGTCTGTCTTTCACTGCCTGCCTTCCTTTCCCTATCCTCCTCCTTTCTTTCTCCTTCCTTGCACCCTCCTTCTCTCCTTCCTTCCTTCTTTCTCTTATGGCTGGGTATGTGCTGCTAGGTGCTGTAGCAGACAGCCTCTCAGATGGCCCCAAGGATCCCTGCCTCCTTGAACCCTCCTTGAAGGATCCCTACCCACAACCTTGAATATTTCCTCCCCTTGAGTAACTTGCCTCGAACCTATGGAATATGATAGCATTGAGGGGATGTCACATCTGTGATTAGGTTACAAAGGATTGTGACTTCTGTCTTGCTAGCTGACTTAGTCTCTTGCTGGTTTTGCTGAAGCAAGCTGCCATGTTAGTGAGAACCACAGGGCAAAGAATGGAGGGTGGCCTCTGGTCCACAACCAGCAAGACGCTGAGGCCCTCAGTCTAACAACCCTCCAAGAACTGAGTCCTGGGAAACAACCATGGAAGTGAGCATGGAAGCCGATCCTTCCCCATTTCAGACTTCGGATGAGACCACGGCCCTCGCTGGCACTTTGAGTAAAGCCTTGTGAGAGAATCTGAGGCAGAGAACCCAGCTGATGGATTAATTTGGAGTATGGATAGGGAAAAATATTACCCATAGTAAATATCTGAAGGCTGTTGATATATTGATATAATAAACAAATTCAATATATATCAGAACTTCAGAGCAGTGTTTAAGAATGACATAAACCACTTTTCTTAGCAAATGGAATATGTCACAGTGAGTGTGGGAAAGTGGGTAACTTCTCTTCTGGAGGCAAGAAGAACTGTAATACAACTGGCTGCTTCTCTCTTGCTCAGACACCTCCTGCTTCAGCTGTTATCACTGTGGCTGAAGACATTCAACCTTCCTCAAGTCCAGTTCCTTTGAGTCATGCTCAGGTTTCCCAAGTCTGAGAGGTGCTGGCCTGACCTTAAAATGAGCACCTGTCTATTACATCTGAAAATCCCAGCAGAAACTTGTTTTGTGTTTCACTATGAAGGCAATAAATGGCTACCATACACTCTGAGGTCCTCTCTGATGAGCCACACACAGTCATTTCTAGACTAGAAATACTTCCTACTCTCGTGATGTTTTTTTAGCCTAAACCTACAGACAGAGTAGTGCACTCTTAAAAACATCTCTTAAAAGAATGTTTCAATGGACAAGAGAAGCCACCTTTGGCCCTAAAGTAATTCTAAGAGAAATGAGTATTCCATTCAAGTGGTCCCACATCCTGAAGAAATGTTAATGTGTTAACACTGATGAGCATTCAAAAATCTTGACCATAACCTTGGGATTCACTTTTATTCTCTCTTTGGAGGTTTCATTTTGAAAATAAGGATTGTAGTGACATATTTGCTTTGTTATCATTACTATGTTTCATACATCATGCTACATATTACATCATGTTGAATATTTATGTAATCTCCTTTAATACTGCTAACAGTTCTAGAAGGTGGGTACCACTTCCACTTAGACATGGGTGAAACTGGGGTTCCGAGAAGTTAAGTGAGTTGCCTGTGTTTATATTGCTGTTGTTTGCAGAGGTGGGACTAAAACACAAATCCTTGTGATTTCGTCTAAACTCTCAGCACTAGTAAAAAAAATAGTAGCTTTTTTGTTAGACAATTCTCTACTGCTTCTCAAGAAATTCCCAGAAAGGAAAGATGACAAGCTCAGATGTGCTCTTAACTAAACTCTCAGAAATCTGTAACCTGGCAAGCCCTAAGAGCAGCATTTCCTAACTGTGACTGCACATTGGAATCAACTGAGGAGTTTTAAGAAAATACTGATGCCTTGGTCTACTCCCAGAGGCTTGACCCAATCTGTCAGGGGTGCAGCCTGGGTATTGAGATTTTTTTAAACAATAGGTAGCCCAGGTTGAGAGCCACTGATGTAGAGAAATAAAGTTATACGTAAGCACTGAAAAGTTACCTTTCCACATTATGAGGTTCTCTGACCAGTTCTAGCAGAGCTGCAGATCAAGAGTGACCTCCTTTGAGCCAAAGGTGTAACCTCCTTTGAGCCAAATTCTGGAGGGTGTGGGAAGGATGTGAATTAATTATGACCTTAAAAGAGTATAATAATTGTTCACAATGAACGCTTGGAGAACTAAGAGATATTTTAAATATATGTGTGAAATGATACATCTAAATGCTAAACCTGCCCAAATTTCTGATGGGCTATAAACTGGTAATAAGAACTAACTAAGAATAAGTTAAACTGATATTCCTACTGAAATTATTATTTAGAAATCTTGAAGAGAGTTTTACTAAATTCAAGTTTTGAAAAGTCAATGGAATGACGTTATGTTCAAACCTACGATGACAGAGGGACGGCATCAGAGGCGCTGGGAGGTGCCGCTGTTTGCAGCACATCACCTTTGACATTGACCGTGCCTGATTTTGTCAGCCAGATTGGCTGGGCCTCCTTTCCTGCCCGGTGGCTCTCGCCTTGGAGGAACATGATCTTCCTGGGCCGTACACAGACGTCGAACAGCTGTTACATACTGAGACAGTCATCTGCCTTCTTACCCTCCGTTCTCTCACCAGTCATGCTTTTCTATCCTCAACTCATGACAAAGCAGAAACAAAAGCCAAATGAAATCACATACAAGTTCCCAACGTGTGCCTGGGGGTTTGGGGTTAGAAGAGAAGGAAGAAGAGAAGCAATTGAAGTGGGAGGGGAAGGCTGGAAGGAAAGGAGTCTTTGGGAGGAAAGGACAACCTTCCGAGAGCTCCAGGTCGTGGAGGGGAAGGCACTCAGCAGCCATTTGCCCTTAAATGTACAACCTCCACTGCAGCCCGTCGTGTGATTCAACTGCTGTCAACAGTCCTGGCCAGTTGTTATCACCCCTGAACAGAGAGGCTGGGGACTTAATACCTTGTGAAGAGACAACCTTGCCCTCTGACCAAAGTCTAACTGAACACAACCAGTTGAGAATTTCCTTTTGAGTTGGGCAGCATAGACAAACAGTAAGGAAAGGAAAGAAAACAAAACAATAGTCCTTAATATGATTAAGAATTAAAACCTGCAAAGACATACTGAAGAAAACAATTTTATAGAACAGATAAATGAACTTCATAAATAAATAAATGGAATGGGCCAAGCGGTTGAACTGTA